GGAAACGGCATCAAAAGCATAGTTATCATTCACTCTAGAAGCCCGGATTATCATTTTAAAGTCGTTAGCGTGAGTCTGCGCTTCAGCCAGGGAGACTCCATCCAGCGGTGACTACAGGTGAGCCTTGGGCTCGGCTTCACAGGATCTCCTCAGTGGAGGCTGAGGCCGAGCACGTGCATTTCACAGGTTAGCCTTTTCCTTTGCAGCCATGTGAGAGCCGGCCTGTACGTAGGTGTGAATTGCGTTCTGTGTCATAGGAAGAGAACAGAAGACCAATGAGTTAGGCACCCGGAATTTCTCTTAAAACAACTCAGAAATCCACTCACTGTGAACTATTTTATGTTGTGTGGGGCTAAAATGAAGTTATGTGTTGTGCTAGTAAGTTTCTGATAGCTCAAAGAAAATGTCTAATAACTGCTGAGCTGAGGGGTAATATCAGTGGAAACCAAGCTGTATCTGATCCAGCCTAGGCTCCTCCACCAGCCACACCTATCAGGGCTTACCTTCGGCTTCTCGGAGTTGTATTTGTCCAGAAGAGCCTGGATGCGGGCCCCGTAGTCAGGGTGGACGGAAGTGAAATTCTTGACCTGGATTCAAAAGGATGATACATATTAGATCTCCTCATCCCTACGTGGACTGCCAGGATCTTGTGCTTACTGGGCAGGAGAAGAAGGACATTTCAACAGGTCAGATGTGGTTCTGGAGAAAGACCTGGGTGTCTAGTATAAATTCTTCAGTCTATGGGCTGAGCTGCCTCAGAGAAGCCACTTCACCTCTCTGAGCTTCCGTGCCCCCCTCTTTAAATGAGCAAGACAATTCCACTTATGTGGTATCATAGAAACACATCTGGTCTTTATCCTCCATCCCTGGTACATGGATGCTGAAGCCCGTGGAACTTACTGTCAGCCGTGTACCACTGAGATGGTTCATGGGAAGCCTGCTGAGCTGCAGGACAGAGCTGGCACCGGACACAATAAGCATAGGATTTGAAGGCGGGACTTCCAATCCCACCCTGAGCCTACAGATAGTGTCTAGTCACCTCATAGCTGATGACCTGGTCAGCCATGTCTATGTAGGGAGAGTTCTAGGAAAGCCCTTGTATGACCGGGCTCTTGGAGCCTCAGGGTAGGGGTCGGGAGGCTGGTACGGCTGAGAGGCATGAAAACTGGCAGCCCTTCCTCCCCCCATCAAGCTCATGTGTCCCATCCATGTGGTGAGTGCTGAGAGGCCCCTTATGATGAACAGATAAGACGAGATAAGGTATTTTCCTGAGTCCTGTGAGCCATCCCAGCAAATAACAAACTTGGCAGGGGGTCCTGTGAACCCTGTGACAGTAGTCAGAACTTACACGTGCCAGCTATCTCCTTTGAAATCTAAAGTTGGAAGGGGTTCTTACAAGGTTGATCCCTAGATCTGTGGTGACGAAACAAGTTCCAGGGACTCCTGTCACCACTGAAAGCTCAAGAACCTCTTACTGAGGGAGAAAGCGTGCGGCCAACCTCGTAGGATATTACGGAGAGACACATCTGAGCAACCCGTACCAGCTGCCGGTGAACAGCTGACCTCACGGTGGATACCTAACATATCAGTAACCTGTGTGAAAGGACAGACTTGACACTGATGATGTACAACACTGGCATATGCCAGGCAACTCCATGAAGGGCACGCAGCCACTGGGTGAGCCCTAGCACACAGTGAAAAGGAGGCGGGGCACCAGGAACAAACAGAAAGCCTTTAGAGTTTCAGCATATGTGAGGAGTCTGCCAAGGATGAGAGCCTCGGTCTACGACTCACAGGCTTCCATTGCCTGCCCTCATCAGGACCAAGAGATAAACCCTGCCCTGCCCTGCCCATCCCCCAGAGCAGCCACCAGGCTCTTTGCTAGTTCCTAACCTGGGCTCTGTAACATTCCAGGTAGTGGTCCTAGGGTCCTAGGATCAGAGTAGCAGCAACTAACACTCGGGAACACAAAGGCCACTCAGTTTATATTGAATGTACTTCTGCGACAAACCAAAAATCTAGACACCAGAGAGAGGGCTTCGGGTAACTCAATGAGCAGACACAACCAGTGACTTGACTCAGCCTGCTTTGGGGAATTCTAGAAAAGAGGCAAGCTTCTACTGTATCTGAAGAAGAGCCACAGACTCATGACGATGAACCTTGACACAGGCTTCCAACCACAAAACCAGAAACAATACCTGTTATCCTCTGAAAGCAGAGCCACAGCTGGCCACCACACACTGAACTGACGGCAGCTGAATTACCCAGCACACACAAGAATTCACTCTAAACTCAACTGAACTTCTACACACTGGAAAGACAGATACAAATGAGCATATGTATCACAACAGACAAAACATTGGGACAAGATGATCGGATTTTGACAAAAAACTGCTGCACTGCCTAAAAAGTCATCCTTAGCTCAGGTAAACTGCTTTTCCTTGCGAGGGTTCGCCCATGTGGCTGCACTACCACCATGAGCCAGCAGGTGTCGCCCTTTAGCTATCAAAGCCAGACTCACCGCTTTCTTCTGAATGAAAAGCTGCGCATCCTTCAGGTGACCGGCAATGTTCTCACACAGGCGTTTCCTCTCCTCCTCGTTCAACACCTTCGTATAGAATGTCCGCACCTGTTCAGCAAAAGGAGAGCAAAAAACGAAATAACATTTTACCATGAATAAAACCCACCCAAGAGTCTACATTTGAAATGTGTTGAATTAATTTTTTTTGCATTCATTTGTTGGTAACAGCTTATAACTTGGTTTCTTCTCTGTGTATCTGTGCAGGTATGCATGAGTGTATGTGTGTACGTGTGTATGTGTGTGTGTCTGTATGTGTGTGTATGTGTGTACGTGTGTATGTGTGTGTGTCTGTATGTGTGTGTGTATGTGTGTGTGTGTGTGTGTGTGTGTGTGTGTATGTGTATGTGTGTGTGTCCAATTTTCTCAGGATTGGTTGCTCCTACTTAGTGCCCACACGCTTCCAAGGGGCATGCTCAGTCTGGTGGGCAGTATCTCCAAAATGGCACTCTTTCCTGGTCCTCAGCGCTGTGTCGAGACCAGCTGTAGCTTTCTGCAAGCCAGAAAACCTATGACTTGAACTTTAACTCCTCGGCGGCATAACACCTTCACAAGAGGAAACGTCGGCCAAGACTCCCACAGGACATACACTTCCCGTATACCTCCACTTACTGCTGGGGCTCGCTTTCATTACTAAAAGTGTTCAGCTGAGCTGCAGTACCTTTTACATTTCCTATAGTCTGTCTATGGAGGGAGGGAGGCAGGCAATCTATGATTTTTTCTTTACATTTATTTATTTATCTGATTGATTTAGTGTGCACACATGTTTATGTCATGGCACACATATAGATGTTAAAGGACAACTTGTGGGTATCAGTTCTTTCTTCTATGTGGGTTCCAGAGATCAGACTCAGTTTGTCAGGCTTGGCTGCCAGTGCCTGTAACCACTGAGCCATCTCACTGCCCAAAAAGTAATTTCTGGAAGCATTTCCGGTGGTTCACTGCAGCCAGCTTCTCACAGGAGCTCACTGTCAAATCTTCAGGGATTCTGTAAACAAGCTACCTGCACATACATGACTTTTTTTTTCTGCAACTTTTCTGAGCTCTTGGTCATTAAGCCCTTGCTTTGTTCTCCAAAGCTTTTCTTTTTTGAAAAAGGATATATTATCTTTTACATATATGAATGTTTTGCCTGCCTGTATTAGAACATAACACATGTTCCCCTGGTGCCCAGGGAGGTCAGACCAGGGTGTCACATCCCATGAGACTGAAGTTTTAGATTGTTGTGAGGCACATATGGGTGAACCCTAGTCCTCTGCAAGGACAACAAGTGCTCTCAACCACTGAGCCATCTCTCCGGCCCCTCCTCAAAGCTTTTAATCTGTCTTTCCAATGTTCTTCATGAGAGGACAGGTTTGATATGGACCAGTCCTCTGAGCCAGGAGGCCACATGAATCATTTTTAAGGAAATTAACATGAAGCTTCTTAGGTATTAGTCACAGGACTTTGATTATTGCACCATTTTGCTTTGAACGATAAGACCAGGATCAGGGCTGGTTATAGAAATGAGGCCTACATCAATGGTAAGAAAGCCTCTCACTAAAATAAGGAAGGTCATAATAAATCTCACACAGTAAACCTTTAATGTACAAACAGCAATCTGGTTTCTACAGGAGTCGTACGGGCTTACCTTACACCTACCTTGACCTCATACAAACAAACCCTCAACTGCCAAGGCTATCCTGCAAGAAATTTGGTGTCACCCATATCTCTAAAAATAATAATCCACTATAAAAGGCTTACCTAAATGTGCTTTATATCCCACAGAAAAATAGCACTAACACACACACATATCTTTCAAACAAAAACATCTTCACAGTGAATCTATTTATGTATTTATAAATATTTCACTTGGAATCTACATTTTTAAACTGAGAAAATAAAAAGGTTCTAATTGAATTTAGATATCAGTTTACAGAAAGCTCTCACACAGGACTCCAGAGCAACTACCTTCTCAGTCTTTGGCTGGGTGTGGTGGAAGTTACACTGAGCACATCCCAGCCCACACACAGACTCCCACAGCACCCACTGGAAAAGGCCCCAGGACAGCCATACACACAGGGAAAGAGGGTAAGCACCTGTCCCAGGGCAGTTAGCAGTAGGGTGATCTGAGGCCAATGATACAATCTGGGGTAAAGGCCATCGGATTCTCTCACCTATGACAGAAATAGAGTGAGAGGTGCTCAAAAAGAGAAAAGCTGAGAAGAAAATCAGAAAAGAGAGTCGGCCAGGTGTGGGCGTGGCCAAGCAGCAGAAGTTGAGAGGCAAAGGGGGAAAATGTGGGGGGCTGCAGTGGGAACAAGCAACTAGCAGTGGGAAGCAGACACCTGGAGAACAGCAGAGCAAGGTGCCCAGAGCCCTGAGTGGAGCCCACACACTCTCGATGCCAGTTTTGTTCCAAGTTTTTCAGGATTAGGATTCAAACCCAAGGCTCTGTCCGTGCAAGGCAAGCAAAGAACGGTTTTCCCAACGGCTGTCTTGGATCACCAGGTCTAGTCCCTGGAAACTGGGCTCTCCTGCCAGGATGTGTATGTCTTACTTGCCTATTTCCTAGATTGCCAGGAGATCATTTATTCCCCAGCATCACCCAACTTTATCATTTCAATAAAGGCTGGGGGAACTGAGAGTGACTCCCCATATCTGAAATGGACGAGCAGCTTGACAGCTCTTCGGCTCCAGCCAATAGAGAGACTGATTGCTGCTAGAGCTAAGTCTTCTTTGGATTCAATTCAAGATGCATTAGAGACTGTGATGGTTTGTATATGCTCGCCCCAGGGAGTGGCATTATTAGAAGATGTGGCCTTGTTGAAGTAGGTGTGGCCTTGTTGGGAGTAGGTGTGTCACTGTGGGTGTGGCCTTTAAGACTCATCCTAGTTGCCTGGAAGTCAGTATTTTGCTAGCAGCCTACAGATGAAGATGTAGAACTCTCAATTCTGCCTCCACCATGCCTGCCTGGATGCTGTCATGCTCCCACCTTGACGATAATGGACTGAACCTCTGAACCTGCATGCCAGCCCCAATTAAATGTTGTCATTTGTAAGACTTGCCTTGGTCATGGTGTCTGTTCACAGCAGTAAAACTCTGAGACAGACACCATAAAAAGTGGCCAGTAAGTCAGAAGTGATGGCATGTGCCTTTAGTCCCACCACTTGAGAGAGAGAAGCAAGGAAGGCATATATGAGTTCAAGGCCAGCCTGGTCTATATAGGCCAGCAGAGCTATATAATGAGACTAAAGAGACTCTGTAATGAGGTTCTGACAAGAAAAATAGCCAAGTGCCCACTGAGGAGGCAAGAAAGCCATTACCTGAGTGACATTGTCTTCATCAGCACTGTTGAAACGCTTCACATCGACAGACACTGGAAACTGGACACTGTGCTCCAGGGCCGAGCGCTGCTGCTCTGGTGCACTGAAGCTGTTGGGGTAGTAGTTGGGAGCACCACCTTTAAAAAGAAGCAGAGACGTTCTTAGAGAAATGACAAATGTCTTCAAGTCATCAATACGGGAGAGAGCAGGCCCCCACAGTAATCAAACACACACACATTAGGTACAGATGTAAACATACCACATGCTGGGAAACGAGTCTCTCTTCCCAGGTCTAACTACAGGCCCTGTCTACGTGCACATGTGGCCTGCCTCACTCTGAGCCTGAGTAAAGAGGTCTCAAATCCACGTCAATGCTTCAAAGGCCCTTGTCTATAACACCTCCTGGTGCTTATCTGCACCAGGAAGTTTCTTCAAAGATTTGATGTGGTTGCCACTGAGACCAGGCCCAGAGACACTGTAGACCTGACAGTTTCATTTGGATGTAGGCTCTATCTAAACATTGACTCGATTGTACAGAGCAACCTAGGTCTGGTCCCTCATAGACCTAACCTGAAGCTCTGAGATGTTCACAGCTGCTGTATGGTCAGGAAGTTGGGGGGGGGGGGCGAAAAGCCAACATTTCTGTCTTTTTCCATGAGGAAACTTGACAAAACTCTTCCTCACATACCTTTAAGATTTTGGAACATCTCACCTTAGCTGATTCTTATGTTCCCCTCAATTCTATTTTTACTTTCCCCATTTAGAAAAGTAAAAACAAAAACAAAATCTATATTTGTAATATGTTAGCTTTCATTTATCTCAATTTATTGGATGAAATATTGGCAGATATAATTATACATCTTTCATGATTCTGAGATAAAAAATAAAGCTTTTCTTTTTCTCATCTTGGCATTTTTTATTAACTTTTATTTATTGTGTGTATGTGTTTGTGTGCAGGTGTATTTATACCACAAAACATGAATGGGCATCAGAGGACAACTTGTGGGAGTCAACTCTCTCCCTCCATCCACCATGTGGGTCCCAGGGAGTGAACTCAGATCTTCTCGCTTGCAGTGTGTACCCTGAACCCTCTGAGCAATCTCACTGGCCCCTTGCTGTGGTATATTTACTTCCCAGATGGCATAGCACTTTGGCTGGTATCAGCAGAAGCTTGACTATCAGGGCTCACACTGCCTGTACAGAACGCTGCCTAGGAACATAAGACATGGCTTACAGGAAGCAGCCTGTAACTGGAATGCTTCATGGCTCTCTGCCAGGACAGATTATGCACTATGGATAATTAGGAGATGCTTCCTATCACAGTGATCAAGGCACCAACAGTGTGTGTAGGGAGAAAAAAATGGCCCCATACCATTATGGCAATCAGTTATTCGTTTCAGCACGTAGCCTTGGGGCAGCTGTGTCACTATGACAAGCAAAGACTTCAACTGCTAACCACCACGACATTTCTTCACTAGGAATTCACCCTTTGAGAGGTTTTTAATTCTGTTTTCAAATACATTCTGACCTTTACCCAAAACTGGGGGTTGTCTTGGAGGTACTGGCAACTGGAAACAATTAAGCTCTTTCAGGAGAATTTCCAGAGCACAGCCCAAACTCGCTCTAAAATCAAGCTGAGGGCTTCAAACATCAACCCCAGAGCAATGTTCTCACAAGTGTGCCAGTGGGATGTAGACATGAGGTAAGTAACCATAAATGAAGCTCAAGACGAACAGGGACATCTGTGCCATGCACAGCTGCAATAACAAAAGGACCACAAAAGAAGGAAAAGAAATCAAAACCTAGAAGACCAGGAAGGTGGGATTCAGACACGGGGAGTATCTACTATGTCAGGCCCAGGCCTCGAGAGTCCTAAGGGAACAGAAGACCTACTCAGTGGAGTTTGGCAGAAAGCATGCACACTCAGTAAATACCAGGGAGGCCTGGGAGTAAGGACAGGACAGCCGAGCACAAAACGTCATATGCAAAATGATTAAATGTATAAAAATGGCCACTGAAAAAGCATGGCAAGAAATACAGAAAGATGAGATTGTCATGGCTTCTGGGTGCTAGAACTGTTAGATGGGTGTTTGTCCTCTATATCCTAAGTCGCTTTTAGAGTACACATATTCTTTTTCATTGGAGGTGTACCCTATAGTATACGATATGTTTGATTTTTGTACAGATAGCTATGGTTTCAAATAGACATCACTGGTCAAACTTGTGCAGAGATCTATTTCTGCAGTTATTACTTAAAGACAGGCTCCCAGTATGAGATTAAAAACTAAGATATTCATTAAACTGGAATATGAAAAGAAAACACATCAGCCAAGCGCTTGGCTAACCAGAATTAAGACCTGAGGCTCTCTGTGCATTGGCATCAAGAAGGCAATTAAGATGGGGAGGCCATGCACTTGACAAATGAACAAATGCAGGAGTGTCGTCTCCGTAGATCTTAGGTAAATTCAACTTGGGCAGCAAACATGGAAGAGAAGGCTCCCTTGATTTTCTCTCTCTCTTCCTTCCCTTCCAAGTTCCAGTCAGAGCTGGTCCACCAGCTTCACCAGAACCGCAGGCAGCAGCATGGCCTTTGTGCCTCTGCATTTCCAAGGTCTCAGTCCTGGTAAGAGTGACTTGAGGAACTGCATACTCTGTAGCTTAGGTTGGACACACTCCACAGCAGCCACTGTGTAAAATCCTCCTCCCGGCCTTTCACCTCAGATAGACATCAAGGTCAATGTGAGGAGGGAACTCTCAGGGATGCGTGTAAAATGGACAGAAACCAGGAGAGACCATGGGCAGCTCGAAACTTCCAGACTGAGATCTGGGTGGCCAGCAGCGCCTGTAGAGCATGCTACAGCACAGGACGTCTCATGGTTTGTGAACCACTGGCCTAGCATCCTAGCCCACCCAGTCCCAGGCTCTCTGCCCTTACAGGGAAGGATTCAAATATATCCAGGCCTACCCTGGTTGTCATGCATGCACATGGGGCCATCACGCTGGTAGTTGGCCACTCGAGCACGGTAGGGACAGTTCACAGGTATCTGCAGATAGTTGGGTCCCAGGCGGTGGCGGTGGGTGTCTGGGTAGGCAAAAAGTCGGCCCTACAGTAATACCAATAGACATTAGGAATAGTCAGTTACGAAATAGGAAGGAAGCTGTAAGGATCATTCTAAAATTCAAAGTACATGATTACTGCATAGCCCTGCCTGGCTCTGCTGGGCAGAGTCAAGCCTCTTCCCACTTAGAAAGTGCATTCTCCCTAAAGAAGCCATCCATAATCACCCCTGTCATCCGGTCAACTGCTCATTTCACATCTGTCCTAGACAACGATGCCTACTCGGCCCCCAGGACACGGAATTGCCTTGGCATGGTATTTTACATTTCACCTTAACAGAATCCTGAAGTAATTCCCCGTCTCCCCAGCCTCTACTCCAAGGGAAGAATTGAGCCTTTGCTCTTAAAACAGCATCATTCTCCAAAGCCATCTGTGTGGAAATTGTTCAAAGATGTGCTTCCCATATAGTATGGTGAGATTTGACACTCCATACTCTGAGATTTACTAACAAGCATGGACAGAAAGCTGTGGTTGGCATCACTGGCCCTCCACAGCCACAGGTAATGACACTGAGGCTAACCAGGATATGCAAATTATGCCTCATATTTCCCGAGGCCGGATGAGAACCATCTTGACATTCCTTTTAGCAGGAAGCCTTCGGATTTGCTCTGCACTGGTCGCTATCCAATCACTGAGCTCTTCTCATTATGCAAGGTTTTACTCTGAGCAACTCTTCCTCCACTGCCTGGATTGTCGCCCTGACTCCTGGGCAGCATTCTTACTCCTAATTATAGAAGGCAAAACAAAAAACATGGTCTATAAAAATGGAAAGGAGACCGTGAGAGAGGAAAACAAGATCGTAAGGGAGAAGGGAAAATAGAGGGAGTAACAGAATAAATGTGACAGAGAAGCTGAGGGGATTTGGGGGAGCAGTATGGAGGAGGAAGATGGAGGGCAAAGGGGGAGATGAGGGAGGGCAGAGGAAGAACATAAGGGAGGGGGAGAGGGTGAAGGAGATATATATGTATGTATGTATATAAAAGTATAATTGCAATTTATACATATACGTCTTAATGAATTAATTACTGTCTCCGCTAACTTAAAATTGATTTAAATTTTTGAAATTGAACTACATTTTGAAAATGAGCATTAAAAAGTGAAAACTAAGCACCGAGGTAGAGAAGGCAAATACAGCGGTTATTTTGTAACAAGTCCTCACATCGGCATGCTTAAAGCAGTCCCACTGACTCGGCCAACACTTGCTAACTAAGCCTCTCCCGCCACGATCATTTCAAACCATCTAGGCAATGTTTAAACGTCTGATCACACAAGTGTGACTCAACCCGAGCTGGCTGCCTCTGCTAGCTCCAGAAACTGTACCCAACACCAACCACAGGCCGTAACAGAGTCAGGTGGGACTGCTGGCACAGTGGTTCTCAACCTTCCTAATGCTGCGGTCCTTCAATGCAGTTCCTCATGCTGTGGTGACCCCAACCATAAAATTACTCTTGTTGCTACTTTATACCTGTAATTTTGCTGCTGTTATGAATCATAGTGTAAATATCTGTGTTTTCTGACGGTCTTAGGTGACCCCTGTAAAAGGGCCATTGGATCCCCAAAAGGGTCGAGACCCACAGGTTGAGAAGCATGGCTCTAGCACACCATTCTGGTTTGCTCACCTTAGAGTCAGCAGGGAATTCTAACCCTGACAATGAGTGGAGGCGACACAGACAGGTCAGAGATGGTCGCACTGAGCACTCACACTGACAGTGACCTGCATGGATGTCATACCCTTTTATATCACTGCTCTACCTGACCAAACAGCCCTTCCCCTCAAACAACCAGTCCAACTTCTTTCCGGATCCCAGCAGATACATGACCAAGTATGGGAGCAAAGAAAGGCCACACAGCTGTAAGCCAGACACTCAGTACAGTCTCTGTTTCCTGCATTACACCGTCTGCCCATTCCATGATGCTCTGGCTTGCCGTGTTGGATTAAGTTTGAAGATTTATTAATATGATCTTGTTTACATGTCAACAAAGACACTACCCATCAACACAGGAAAGGCCACAGGCCAGCTTCAGGGCTCATTCCCTTCAGGAGTAATTAGTCTTCTTAACTAGCTCTCTGCCCCAGTATTCCCATAAATAATCTTCCTAAGGACCCCTCAGATTATAGTTCCCACCCACTCAGACAACCTCTGGTCACTAAACAGCTAAAGGAACCCAACAGTCCTTCCCTACTACATGGCTCCTCACATGCACCACAGAATTAGAATATATGGCTAGACAACAGCACTATGTCTGGCTTATGTCTTTCCTTTTGTTGCACAGAATGCGCATTTGCTGTGGCTGCCTCACCCTGGGCGGAGTACTGCATTCCATTCTTCAGTGTTTGCTTTACTGTGTGACTGACCTGCTTTCTGACACCAGGTGTCGCTGTGGTCCCAAAGAACTCTTGGGAAAAAAATGGACTCTTGGGAAGACTGTGGGTCACCTTTTGTTTTTATTTTCAATCCATTTTCTCAATACCAGGATTATGTAGTCTGAGCTTTGGTCATCGTGATTTCATGCCCTGGTGCACCCTGCTAGCTCCACAATCACACAGTTCAGTTCCCTGGTGCCCACCCAGCAGGGAAGGCTGTGGGCAGGCTACAGAGCTGGACTTCCTCTATTCCACAGTACCAAGCAAGCAGCTAACATGACTGCTTTTAGCTGTACGCTGCTCCAGTTCCCTAACTGCAGCTCCTTCTGCCGCCATTCATCACTGAGAAGAATTGCTCCACTCTCAGCTCCCAGGCTGTGCTTCTTAAAGCTGAAGAATCCTTCTATCTTCCCAGAACGGGCACTTGCACAATGTCCAACATTTAAAGGCTCCTCTAACACGGTCTTGGTGAGCATGTGCACACTTGATTCCTCTCACTCAGGACAGAGTGGTTACTACAGTTTAAATATTCCCAACACAGAGCACCTCTGTGCCTGTCCTCGTACCCTCTACTGTCTGTGTCACTTATTGAAAATCTTGTTCTAGACCTTTGTCACTGGCCCCATCTCACATCCATAACAGTACTCTCTGCCTTAAACCATGGTTGTCCAATGTTTCGCAGAACCACACCTAGCAGGGCACTACTCAACTAGGCTAATGAAAACTGACTTTCAAAAAATTATCAGATGTCCCCAATGTCATAGCAAAGGTAACCCCAGACACAGAGAACCTCAGCTTGGTCTCCAAGGAGCCTGACACCTGTCAGGAATCAGAACTTACATAAGCAGCAACCTTCAGTCTCTGTGGTCTGATCTAAGGTCTGATCTTTAACCCCTGCTTGGTGTTCATAGTCCAAAAACACAGAAGACTGGCTGGCACAGGAATTATTAAGCCAATTATTTTCCTACTGATTCCTAGTCCAAAGTAAAAGTTTTCCTCTTTGACCTCTTGGCACAGCACCCTAGAAAACGGTTTAAAGGGTGCTGAATGCCTAGTGAGATCACATGATTAAACTATTCCATTAATCACAAAGTTGGGTTAATAAAGATCACCCACGGAGCTGTTTTCAGAGATAGAAAATATGTAGACATCACCTTGGAACAGGAAATGGGGAAGTTATGGTGTCGATGGTTCTAATAATTTATTATAGCCTTATAGGCTGAGCTAGCCATGCTATTTTTTCTAAAATATGGAGTCATTACTATTATATCTTTCTTCCAAAATCAAGTGCTCACATCTTGAAATGTTAGATACTTTATCATGGACGTGTTTTCTAACTGGCATAACGAGAGAATGGCCACCTAAGGGTGTCTTATCCAAGTGACCTCCCGGGAATTAAGCACCTCAATTAAAATTCAAGTGAAAGTTCTAGTAATTCCTTATAAAGATCATACAGAGTTAGTTATACGCTGCGTGCCGTGCACGTGTACTCGTGTACAAACGGACACCTGCCTCAGGACATGTCAACTCACGGGCTTACCTGGAGCATTTTGTCAGGGCTGGGCTCAATGCCAGGGGGCATGTTGCTTGGGTCAAAAGCCATCTGTTCAACTTCAGCAAAGTAATTAACTGGATTTCTGTTTAAGACCAGTTTGCCAACTGGTATTAGAGGGTAGTCCTTGTGAGGCCACACCTGAAAACAATGCCATATTCATAATTACCAGACAGCCAGCTGGAGGATCTGAAAGGCACCAATGAAAACACCGACTTCCATATATAATCAAGTCAGTGAAAATAGTTCTTAACCCAATAGAAACATGATAAGAATTTCATGTGATTGTTTTATCATTTTGTAATACTAAGTAAATATTGACACTGGTGCAGAAACAGAGTAAATTAGCTTTCAAAATGTGTCCCCTGCAAATAACACAGGAAGGCTCCAAAGTGACCCCACTGGACTTCCCACACAGGAGTAGAAGTGAGGTACCCAGTCACAGGCATGAGGACACTGCTGAGATGTCACCTCTTACCTAGCCTGCTCCTGCCACCGTGACTAAGTGGCTATAATTTATATTATATTGATTATTATTATTAATTATTATTTTTAGTTGTAGTAGTAGTGGCGGCAGCAGGAGTAGTAGTTTACAGGAAGATACTTACAAAACAATAAGGCTGCTGCTGACTTACCTTGGTCAAATCAAATGGATTAAATGGGAAAGTTTCTGCCTCCTTGAAAGTCATGACCTGGATATAAAAAGTCCAGGATGGGTAATTGCCATTGGCGATGGCATTGAAAAGATCTCGAAGACCATAATCCGGATCTTCCTGGGCAAGTCTTCCTGCCTCTCCAACAGGCAAGTTTTTGATGCCCTGGTCAGTCTGCAGAGTGAAAGAAAAAAGTTCAAATGAAGTTTAGAAAAGAGTTTACAAAACGTAACCAGTACATCACTGAAGGGTTCTAGGTAACACAGCCCATTTGGGTGACACGATGACATTTTCCTTAAATCATACTTCTACTGTTCAGAACCAACACTAATAAATTTATTTACAGGAAATTATACTTATTTATACCAATTTTTTCAATGTCAAATTATTCTTCTCTTTCTCTTTATGTATTTTACATAGTTTGAATTTTTATACTATTACTTTTTAATCAGAAAAAAATGTCATAATAAGATAAATTGCTTATCCAAAATAAGCAAGAGATAATACTAATTAAAGAGTTTTAAAGTTCACCTTATTTTTAACTAAAACACCAAAACTATGCATATTAATAGAGAATATTTACCATTTCCTTATAGCAAAACACTCAAACTCTTTCTTCTAGATTTTTGAGAGCTGTAGTACAGTTACTGTCTACAGTCACTGTACAATAGCCCACTAGAACTTGGTCCTCCCAGCTGTCACTCAGTACCATCAGGCAGCCTTCCCCCCACCCCTACTCTCCCTGGACTCTGATGACCACCATTTCTAATTTCATCTTCTAATTCTCAAATCCCACCAATGAAACAGAGCATGCCACATCTGTCCTTCTCTGTCTGGCTCATTTCATTTAGTACAGTGGTCTACAATTCCACCCATAGTCACAAAGATGGGGTTCTTGTCTCTGCCGCCCCACCTCCCCCTCGCCCCCTCCCCCCCCCCCCCCCCCTCCCTCCCTCCCTCCTTCCCTCCCTCTGTCTCCCTCCTTCCTTCTGGCTAAACAGAAGTCCACTATATCACATCTTAATCCATTCACCATCTGATGGACACTATTTAAAAAACACAAGAGTGCAGATGCCTCTTGGACATCCAGTATCATTTGCCTTAGATATACACCAAGGAATTCTGAAAATAACCTAATTCTCATTTTTAAAACAGCTCAAAAAAATTCCTAAAATTGTGATCAGCATATCCCTTTGTCTCTGTTGTCTTGTTTTTTGTTTTATTTTAAGAAATTGTAGAATCAGAGTTCATCTAGCTACCATGAGTTTCACTGCAGCTACTCTATCCCGATTATCAGTGAGCAGGCAGAAATCGGTGTTGTGCCTTTCCCGATTATCAGTGAGCAGGCAGAAATCGGCGTTGTGCCTTTCCAAACAAGCCAAACACACCCAAGACCATTATGTCACCTTCTGATCTCTGTAGCCCTGTCAGCTGACCATGTGCCTCAGTCTAAAAGACTCCAGAAGCCACATGTCATGGAAACACTTAGCAAAAGCAACTCTGGAAGGGACCAAGGCGGATGGCAACTTCAGGATTTAAAAATGAAGGCCACTATCTTCAGGTCACTCAATATGTTCAATGTATTGTAACAATACAAAGCTATTCTGATTTTAGACAGATCTTTTATGTTTAGAAAACAGTACCTATAAATCAGAATAAACTAAACAAATGAATGAATTTATATATATCTCAACCTATCTCAGGATTCTCTGCTGAACAAACCTATAAGCAATCTTTTCACTGTAGTCCTGTGGACAGCTGTAGTTGCATCCCAATTTTATAATGAAAAGAACTTCCAACAATATGTCAAATGTCATTTATCCGGGACAGTGAAGATCTAAGTTGAGGCTGGCCTGCCTGCCAGGCTTCTTACTCGGCTGAGGATCCTCCACAGTCACAGTCTTCCCCTGAGTGACCTTACACAGCTCCCGTTGACAATTATAAATCCAGAGATCAATTGTTTTCTTAACATTGATCCAAGATATAAAGGAGACACTTTTCCCATTTAATATACCTAAATAGCTTGTTCAAATAAATACTAAAATATGACAGAAGAAAGTGTGCCTTTGAGATGTTAAAACAGAGAGGTACTAAGCCTGGTTGTGTGGGCTTGAAAGCCCAGGTACCCAAGAGGCTGAGGTAGAAGGATTGCAAATTCAAGGCCCAGCTGGGCTACCAAGGAAGTTCAAGGCTAATCTGGGCAACTTAATGAGATCCTGTCTCAAAATACAAACGGTGCTGGGGATGGAGCAGCTCAATGGTACAGCACCTGCCTGGTATGTGTGAAGTCCTAGGTTCAGTTCCAGACCAAAAGGAGGGAGACTTCGTTTGTCATTAACCCATTTCCTTCATCCTAGCTTAGCAGTGGTAATTAGAAACAGAAGTTTTTAAACCTTCTACGGTGCTTAAAGAATAATGATAACCCTCTCAAGCTCACTGGTAAATATTGCATATTGTAATATAAGTCAAGATCATACCAAAGAGAGAAGCCATGTGCCCCAGCCTCTAACTACATGTAAGGAAAAAGCCATCGGCCAACTACACACAGTTCTGATTTGAGTGATCTGAATTTGTTCTCTGAATTGGTGGCCAACAAAATACTCATAGTGCTATTCAACGCTATCAATTCTTTGTACCCTTGGGTGTCATGTCTCCAGTTCCACCTCTCTCCACAGTGCTCAGGCCTGTAGGAGAGGCAGAGAGTTGTGCAGGAGGAGCCTTGTACCCTCTGTCCAGACAACATGTACCTTGTAATGGAACTTGCAATAGACCGCCTCTTCATTCGCATTAACCAGCTTGAACGTGTGTGATCCATAGCCATTCATATGCCGGTGTCCATCCGGAATCCCTCGGTCACTGAACAAGAAGGAAACCTAAGGAACACAAACGGAAATCCTCCCATTTAAATTGAAGTATCCCAAGTTTTTACATCCATGCATTTCCAGAAAATTCCTTCTCGACACAGAACACACCTTCTAACTTCCACGGCTTATCATGATTTCACCTATAGAAAATGATAACATTTCTATGAAGGAACGCTAAAGCAAATCTGGACGCTAAATTAACATGCTGTTCAAACTTTTATCTTTTTTTTTTTAACATGATATGTTTATTGACTCTTTGGGAATTTCACATGATGTACCCAGATCATACTCACTTCTCAGTCCTTCTACGTCTGCCCTCCACCCTTGTGACCTCCCCCAAAGAAATGAAAACAAAATTTAAAAATAATAGTAATAATTAATTTTAAAAAGGAAAATTAAAAAGACAAGTCCAATTTGGGTTGCCCATATACTCACTGGAGCATGGTCAAACTCCCAGTGGCCAGACCCTTAAATAGAACTGAGTCCTCCCCTCCCACAGTATTCCCACCAGAAGCCATCCATTGTGGAGAGTTAATTTCCTTTCACATTTTTGCAGAGTTCTCTTCAATATCTCCCTCTTTACTGTTACTTTTGGGGGTAAGGGTGAGAGTAGGGGTTGTCACAGAAGTCTTCCATGTCCCTCTTTCTCAACTATGCCTCTGCAATCAGCAATGTCACTGCGAACATGGTCTCCTTGCTCTTCACAGTCAGCCAGAGCATGGATTATGGACTTCCACATGCAAAGAGCACAGACCATGAACATGGCCCCTGACTGTGGTAGGACTACCGACCCAGACAAGGCCCTCAGAGGCAGCCCAGACCACAGACAGCACCATGGCCTCAGGTGGCAGCACACACCACTCACATCAGCCTGGATCTCACTGCTGGCATGTCTCCAGTTCCACCTCTCTCCACAGGGCACTGCTTTCCTCTCCCTTCCCTACTACACGGCTTTACCCTGACTGGACTTTATTCCCAAAGACTCCTAAATATTAATTGATAGTGTTTCCAATCACCTAAGCATCATGTTTAGATGTAAACTCTTTGTGATCAAAAAATCTGAAGAAGCACCCCAAAAAGACATAAACCAAATCCAATAAAACAACCCAAGAACAGGACCACATTACAAGGTCTAATCTGCAATGCCATCCCAGGCGATGTAATAGTGAAGAAGGAGTCTCACCTGATGGAGAGACTCTGGACGAAGACTCCAGAAGTCCCAGACCATGTCAGGATCCTTCAGGTGAGTTTGTGGGTTTCTCTTTTGGCTATGGATAAAGGATGGAAACTGGGGAGAGAGAGAGAGAGAGAGAGAGAGAGAGAGAGAGAGAGAGAGAGAGAGAGAGAGAGAAAATAAAAATCCCAAACCTAAGTTTGTAAGAATTATAGTGTCTTATATAATATGTTATTTATCACTCCTTTATGAATTCTTCTAATCAACACAATTCCAGAAACTTAGACTGTTAGACTTGCAAATGAAATTTGTTAGTACATACAATCAATTCTTTGGATACTCTTGTGTCAATGCACTCAGAGCTGAAGTATCTCTTTAAATACTACTACCACCAAACACACACACACACCACACACATACACACACACACAAACAATCCACATACAATCCACACATACACACACACAATCCACATACAACACACACACACACAGAGAGAGAGAGAAATATCCCCTTATTCCTCTTATCTGCTTCTTGGCAAAGCCCATCTTCACTAATCCTCCAAGCTCTGCAATGAAAGCTCGACTATTCCCACCAGGTCAGTGACTCATGACATGCTAAATCTAAGGCCAATGGTAATTATCATTTGCTCTTATAGAGACAGACTAAATTCTGGGGGGGAAATTTAAAGGGTGTGGTGGTTTGAATAGGTTTGGCCCCCATAGACTCATGTGTTTGGATGCTTGGCCCATGGGGAGTGGCACTATTAGGAAGTGTGGCGTTGCTGGAGTAGGTGTGGCCTTACTGAAGGAAGTGTGTCACTGTGGGGTGGGCTTTGAGGTCTCTATGCTCAAGCTCTGCCCAATGTGAGACAGTCTCCTGGCTGCCGTTAGATCAAGATGTAGAACTCTCAGCTCTCCAGCACTATGTCTCAATGTCATGCTCCCGCCATGATGACAATGGACTGAACCTCTGCACTGTAAGCCAGCCCCAATTAAATGTTTTCCTTTATAAGAGTTGCCTTGGCCATGATGTCTCTTCACAGCAATAAAATCCTAACTAAGACAAAGGGCAACCCAAACAATCCACATTCTCTCCTTTCTCTAGGGTTTATCCTCAAATGACAATCACTAAAGAAAACTGGAAGTCAATTCAAATCCACAACACTGATAGAGAACAAAACAGTCCATCACCTACCAGCATGGCATCCCTGATGAAGAAAATAGGGGTGTTGTTTCCCACAAGATCCCAGTTACCATCTTCAGTGTAGAATTTCACTGCAAACCCACGAGGGTCACGAACTGTGTCAGCTGAGCCTGACTCTCCAGCTGGAGGAATCAAACGGAAAAATGAAACACACTCAAGTATACTGCAACCAAGAAACCATAAATCACAGAGAAACTTAGGATCTATCATCTTCAATCCACGTCCTGCAGAAGGGGATCCCTGGAATTCCAGAATTCCTGGAAGCAGGTTAGGTATTTAAATGTCTGTGGTATTTTTACTACAACCTACCTACTAATTGGGTTTAGAAATCAGACAAAAGAATGAATTAAGAGTGATAACATATATACCAACAACTGACAAGATTATCCATTGAAACAGGTAATTAAGAAAATAATTATGAAGATTGGAGTAATAAACAAAGCATGAGTTGTGTGGGGCTGGAGAGACGACTCAGCAGTTAAGAGCATAGGCTATTCTTAACCAGAGTTAAGACTCAGGTTCAATTTCCAGCGCCCACACCGCGGCTCACAACCATCTAACTCCAGTTCCAGTGGATCTGACACCCTTTCCTGGCCTCTGAAGACACCAGGCATCCACATGGTATACAGGTATGTATACAGGCAAAATATCCATACACACAAAACAAAAATGATAAAAACTTTAAGAGAGAATGAATTGTCAGAAAGTTAGTAAAGGTAGAGGTTTATTCTTTATCTCGTTCATTTTTGCATAGCATGGTTTGTGTGTTTGTTTGCTTGTTTGTTTAGGCACACAGCATAGCAGAGAAGCCTAATCTATGTATTAGGGAGTATTTATATATTATATATAAATTATGTCATATTATTTGTCTATGTTTTATATATGTGTATATATATATATACATACATACACACACACACATATATATGTATGTTATGTTTATGTGTGTATATGTTAGGTACAACTACTAATTCTGTAACATAATAATAAAATGCCTTCATCATTCTGAAATACATTAATCCCATACTGCAAAGTAGATCTACAAGTTAGTATAAGGAAATCACCTATATTATTGTTGTTCTACACTGGAGCAGTTGTTAGAATGGTTATTAAAGAAGAACTTCACTCTATATTTCTCTTTGAGGGAATTGCTTGTTGAGAGTTCTTTCTAAATGTCAGAAAACTGCAGTGGTAGCCCCTTCATGGTTCAACAAACAGAACAGTAACCTCAGGTATGACCCAGATATTGTCTATACAATAAAACAATTTCCTATTTTCTTAGTATGTTTTTCTTGAGAGTTACAAGTGTAGGTTGACGGAACCAAAGAAGGCATGCAAACAGACTGACTTACCAACTGTGGAAAATCGAACAGCAATAGGAGTCCTCTTTCCAATATGCTCAAACACCTTTGCCTTGGAGTATCTGGTAATATCATGGGTGACCTCAAAGTATCCAAAAGCACCTAATGAGAAAGACAGAAACTCTCAGCACAGGAACATCACTCGGGCCTCAGGCTCTCAACCTGTGACAAGAGAAACTAAGCATGCTCCCAGCACCAGCCTTCCGGGATCTTCCAATACGATGGGGAGAAGAAGTATGCGAACACGGAATGTTAGGAACAAAACGGAAAGCCCTATTGTCACTAGTGCTCAGATGAGGGCCACATGGTTGGAGCCAAGAGGGGATGATGGGTGCTGGGAGCTTTGGCTGATCAAAGACAAAGGACCCAGGGGGCCTTGGGGTAGAGGCAGGGGCCAAGGAATGACTTGGAAGAACACAGGGAAGGAATCAGGGGCTAAAAGAACAGCTGCCAAATGACAAGTGCCAACAGAGAAGACATAAAACAACAATGGGAAGTAACTTATGCAGGAAGCAGAGTCAAAGCCAGGAAGGCTGAGTAGAAGAACACAGGAGCAAGCTGAGAGAATACGTTATCCTTTCTACATGGCTCTATTTCTCATTTGTTTGTTTGTTTATTTGTTTCAAGACAGGGTTTCTCTGTGTAGCCCTGGATAGCCTGAAATTCTTTATGTTGAACAGGCTGGCCCTGAAGAGATTTACCTGCCTTTGCCTCCTGAGTGCTGAGATTAAAAGCGTGCACCCACAACACCTGGCTGCTAATCTTTCTCTTACTGGGCTTTTCTTTTAAACATTAATGTCATCTTTTACATCCACCATAAAAGATAAAAGTTCTACAGAAGCTAGACAAAAGAGAAGGAAAATTCACCACAAACTCACCACTCCAACATAACTATGCTCTATTTTTCGGTTCATTTCAGTATTTATCCCAAAGAGCAAATTTTAACGAAACTGCAGCTGTGGTATATGTTTCTCTATCTGTGTGTTCTCTTTCCTAAACTATATAATGGAAAAAGTAATGAAAGGATACTAGTTAGTATGTGTGGTGCTGGAGCGTGAACCCTAGTCTGGCTAGATAAGCACTCTTGCACTGAGCCTGATTTATTGAGACAGGATATTACTGCTTAGCACAGGCTAGCCTTGAACTCCGTCTCTCTCTGCCTCTGCTTCCCAAGTGCTGAAATTACAGGAATGTGGCACACATCACACCTAGCTGTAAAGTTACTATTTGTTTGCTTGTTTGTTCTCTGTATGTGTGTGTGCATACCACGTAACCACGTACCTGTGAGTGTATATATGCATGTGAGTGTGGAGGTCTGAGGGGAAGCTGGATGTCCTTGACTGCCTTCCACATTCATTCATTCATTCATTCATTCATTCATTTATGAGACAGATCTTTCACTGACACTGAAGCTCATTGCCCTGGCTAGGCTGGCTGACAGAGAGCTCCCGTCCACTCCCCTCCCACCACACCCTCCCACCAGTGCCAAGGTCACAGGTAGATTATAGTATGCCAGCTCTAAACTCAGCTCATCATGGCCGTGCAGGACACATTTTATGAACTGAGCCATCTCCCCAGCTCTCAAAAGTTAGGTTTTTAAAAACTGTTTTGGAACTGGACAGACGGCTCAGCAGTTAAGAGCACTGCTGCTCTTCCAGAGGACTCAGCTTCAACATCCAACACATACATAGCAGAACAGAATGTCCGTAACTCTACTTCCAGAGGATCTGATGCCTTCTTCTGGCCTCTTTGGAACTAGTTACACATGTGGTGAACAGGTAAAACACCCAAACACATTAAATGAATAAATATTTTTAATTGTTTATACATAATGTATAACATATAAATATATTTATATATTACATATAGATCATGTTACATTTATGTCTATGTTATATGTGTTATATAATATATAACTTATACATTATTTATATTATTACTTATATATTATGATATAATTCTATCATACAAAATATAATTATGCAATAATAAATAGTATAATAATATGAGATTCTATAATAATATGCTATTATAATGATATATAATAATATAAAAACCTAGGCTATTGTTCTATTAACAAACAATTTTCCTTTCTTCCAAGAATAGAGATTTAGGGTTTTACCAAAAGGAGATTTGATCTGATAGCTACAAGGTTCCTTCCACTTAAGGTTGTCAGGTTCTTTGGAAATCCTTTGGGCCAGGTTAGGAGTGAGGAACACAGCGCTCTCACCTGCTCCTTTGGCGTGTACCACTCTCTCAGGAATCCGCTCTCTGTCAAAGTGTGCCATCTCGTCAGTGAAAACCACATCCTGAACCAGGAGGGGACCTCGGGACCCCGCGGTCATGATATTAAGTTTATCTCCTATTGGGTTCCCGCTTCCGGTGGTCAGGACATCGGGTCTCTATGTGTACAGGAAGGGAAAAGAACAGGAATCAGTCCAGCTGCACCCTTCACTAACACATCATACCTGGCAATGTTTACACCTTCCTCCTTGTTCTTAAATGTCCTGTGTGCTAAATGCTGGAATACTAAATACGCTCTCAGAAATCCTTGTCACACCTCAACAGCAATTCCCAAGACACTTGTTCTGGGAAGCAGAGGTGACTAATGTCTGCTACCTGGCTCAGCTGCTCCTAGAGATGGGCACTGGATTCCACATGTGAGCTCAGACAGGTACCCCTCAAAAGACAACATATGTGCTTGATACTCAATGTCAAAACTAACAGCAAGCAATTAGTCTTCAAAGAAGCCACGCCAGCTGGAACCTCCCTGGGCTGAAGTTTGTCACACAATGGACCTTTCAGACATAATCTTGGGACACCATGACAGAGATATTCAGAGGTAATGCTATGGATAGACACTTGTTTCTCTCAAGCTATGTGTAGTATCTCTTCTCAATTTAAAAACAAACAAACAAAATGCTTTTCTTTTGGCTAAAAATAATAGTTTCTGATAAGATGGGTTATATTACTAACGTTCTATATATGGAAGAACACGGGGCGGGGAGGATCACCTTGGAATTTATAAAACCCATAAACAAGACTCTCACACAAGTGCTCTACCATTTGAAAAATTTCCTAAATCATTAACAGATTTCCTCACATGGCCTCAAGGTCATACAATTTGCCTCCAAAACAAACATGACAGGAAAGGCTTCAAGAGACTGTAATTCAGTGAGGAGCCCAGAGGGCAAAGACTGAAACGGAAGATTGCCCAACTTCAGGGGATGTTTAGAGCAGCATTGGACAGAGAGAGCTGACACAGGATTCATCACACTATGTGGTCTTAGATGAAAACACTACAGTAGAAGCAGGTCTTATCCAATGGCTAAGCACTTTTCTCCTTCGTGAGGCTCTGGGTTGGATCCTTAACCTTGACAATAACAGTAAAATCATAATCCCACCATGCAATAAAGATTTACTAGCTACACTGAGCTGATGGGACTGGAAAATAGACCACATGAGTTACTTCACTTAAGCTTCCCGACAATCTCATGAGACCAATGTTAGGAATTCAACATAATCAACGTGTGTGTGTGTGTGTGTGTGTGTGTGTGTGTGTGTGTGTGTTGTGAGCGTCTTTGTGCATGCATGTTCCCATGTATGAGAGCACGTATGTGGGTCAGGTGCACATACGTAAGCATGTGGGAGCTCAAAGTTGCTTTAAGCATCTTCCCTGATTGTTCTTCATTTTATTTACTGTGGCAGGTCTCTCAGTTGAACCCTGATCTCACTGATCAACAAGGGTAGCTACTCAGCTTGTGCCAGGGAGCCTGTCTCTGCCTGCTGTGATTATAGATGGCTGCCTTACCTGCCCGGCTTTTACATCCATTCTGAGGATCTTAACCCTGGTCTTCATGACAAATGCTTTATCCACTGAGCCACCTCTCTGGCCCTTCAGTAACTTTGGACGGAGGATGAATATCCAACAGGATTACCTCCAACTTGTAACTGTCGTTACAATGTTGTTATTATCACTTTAAACTTAGCAAAGCATCACTTTAAAAATAATTTTTAAAATTTTTTAAATTGATGTTACCTAAGTCCTTTTCCTATTTTTGTACCCCAACACAAAATGAACTCTATGGGCTGTGGCTGTTTTCTGGGTTTTTTTGGTTTACGTCTGTTCGCAGTTTTGAGTTTGTGTCTGACTTTTTGGTTTTTGTTGTTGCTATTTTTGCTTTTGTTTTTAAGAGAATGTGAAGTTGGGTGAGTGGATCAGGGACAAGTTGGGAAAGAGGTACGAGTAGGATCAAAATACATTTAATGAAAAATGAAATTTTAAAGAAAGAAAAGTCACATAATGGCATATGCAAACCTCACTGGTACCTGGATCTGAGAGAACAGTCTGGAGAGAGCCAGACAGTCCAAGTCAGGGCCCTCACGCCATCCACCAGGCTCTGTGGCATTCAAGGACTCCCAGGATGCCCCCGTTACTCATAGTCATGGCTATCTGGTCATAAAGTAAATTTGGCCAAGAGAAGAGGCACATGGAGTAAGGTCTGAAGGAAACCAAGCTTTCCAAGGCCCTCTCCCACAGGCTACATCTACTTCTTCAACAGCAGGTAAGGACACATGTGAAATGATGTCCTCAGAGGCTTGGTACCCAAGTTTTCCATCAAGGGCCAGGAGCATAGGCATCCTTGCCTCCCCCAAGGAAGACAGGTGTTCAGCACAAAACACATACATCACTGACACAGCTTAAACTCTGCTATCTAGTGGCGGGAACTCTTTGAAACTGGGCTTGTAGATCTTTCTAGAGATAGCAGTCTTGGGCAGGCCACAGAGGGACAATCAAGAAACTGAACACACTGGCTAGATATTGACTCTTTGCGGGGGAGGGGAGATTGGCATGAGGCATAGTGATACTACTAAGTACTCCTGGATATACATACTGAAATATATTTACTGGTGACTCTAGGTCTGAAATGAAATCCCAAAAATGGAGGGGGCGTAGACAAGGCAAAAACAAAACGACACTGTCATTGCAACTTGAAGGAGAGCACTGAGAAGCTAAGCACACTGGCTCTCTCCTCCAGCACTGGTTTGACATCTTCCACAACACTGTAGGGTTTGGGGTGTGGGAGAGGAGTTTCAGTGAAGACTCAAAGGGGAAAAAAATGTCCAATAAAAGGAATATGGGAGAGTTGGTAAATAAAGGCAGAGAAAGGGTAGGGGGTGCTTCAATAATGCAGCTATGTGCCCATGAACCCCCACCATGCTCCATTGTAGTTTCCTGTGCTAAAATGTTTACTCCAGACCAGACCAACAGTTCAGCACTGTACACAAAAAAGTCTATCTATTATGTAATTGTTCAGATTAGAAACACTGCCTCCTACTCAGAAGGCTTGTTCTCATCAAGAAATATTTAAAAACTCAACTTTTACGTGGGCCAGGTAATCCTAAATTCTGAATTCGGTGGGGCAGGTATCCTAAATTCTGAATTCGGTCTCTTATATACTCTCTTAAATAGCAACAGGCAGGGGGCGGTAGCACAAGCCTTTAATCCCAGCACTCAAGATGCAGAGGCAGGCAGATCTCTGTCTACATGGCAAGTTTCAAGACAGCCAGGGCTATAGAGACAGACCTTGTCTCAAAAAAACAAACAAACAAAAAAACCCAAAATAAACAATAATCTTCAAGCACTGTATCAGTGCCTACACCTGGGGATGGGTTCTCAAGAACAAAATAAACAGATAAATGCACAGCACTGGGGCACTGTTCTGATAGCCTTCAAAATGGGAATCTGGGCTTGGTCAGACATGGTGGCACAGCACTCATGTTGAGGCAGGAGGATTATGAGTTCAAGGCCAAACTGGCCTTTATAGTGAGTTCTAGGTGAGCCACTTTCTCTCTCAAGAAAAAAAAAAAGTAATTAAAAAAATTTTAAAGCTAGATAAGTATGCTTTCTGGACCACAGCTAAAACTTCACACTAGAATATTGTATCTTGTAAACTGACTCATCCTGGTTAAACTACCAGCTGCCTTGGCCAGTACATAAGTACACTTGGTAAGTGTACTCACAAGGCAAAAATGAATTTTCATTCTGCTATATTCATTGCCTAAATTATACTGTGTGGACCACCAAGAGTACTCAATAAGGAACTAAATACAATATTAAAATATGGAATAAGTAACTACTTGATAAAATGTTAAGTAATATATCATTTCTTGTTTTTGGGGGGGGGTTTCTCTGTATAGCCCTGGCTATCCTGGAACTCACTCTGTAGACCAGGCTAGCCTCGAACTCTCAAACTCAGAAATCCGCCTGCCTCTGCCTCTCAAGTGCTGGGATTAAAGGTGTGCGCTACCACCACCCGGCTAAGTAATATATCATATGAACAGTGAAATCTAAGAGTAGAAAAACATGAAACTAAGTCTCTGTGTGTGTATGTGTGTGTGCACATGTTCCTGTGTTTTACATATGTGCAGTCAGTTCTCATAAGTGTGGGTCCATTTGAATGTATGTGTGTATGAACGTCAGAGTGTATTCCTCCATAGCTCTCTACCTTATTCATAGAGGTAGGGTCTCTCACTTGAGCCCAGAGCTCACCAGTCCAACTAGTCTAGCTAGCCAGGTCAATCTGAGGAGTCTTGTCTCCCTCCTGGCATTTATGTGGATGCTGAGATTACAAACTCCAGCCCTCATTCTTACAGCGTAAGCACAGAGCCACCTCCCCAACACTGAGTCTATGTGCTCTGTGAAGACATAAATGGAAACTGCTAGAACAAAACAGTGCACTGAGCCGTCTCTACAGCATCGTAACTAACTGCTACTCCGTCTGCAGCCATTATGGCCTGTTAATCTGAATATGAACACAGATTCTCTAAAGAACGATGTATTTATTCTGAAATAACAGAGAGAATCACAACACGGCATAGTTGCCTTGGTGTTTTCAAAGGGGACAAGAAAACTATATAAAGGACTAAGGGAGTGTGGCTGTATGAACCACTGTGAAACAATACTCTTCAGCTGTCAGGATCAGAAAACAAGGGTAGCAATGGTCCAGGGCTGAACATCCATTTGTCAGACAGATGTTCTTACAGAAGACGTTCTAGGGAAGTGCACAGTGGCCTTTGTGTGGGTTGGGATTAAGCCGACTCTTCTGTCCGTGATTCTTACCGAGCAAATATGCATGACGTCCCTCCTTCACGATCTCTGGGTTTCATTATGATTTTTGGTTGCCATTACTGAGATTTGACACAAGCAGCTCCATTTTGATTCTGACTATGCATAGGCCTTATGCTAAGATCACAGGAGTCACAGCATAACTCTAAAGTATCTGACAAGGTAGCCAAGAACTGCTGACCCATGGTGCTCTGCTCTATAAGTGTAGATCTGGAGGACCAAGGGCAGAAGGAAATAGCAAGGGAGTCCAAGATCATTGTTAATTCCAGGAAA